ATAGCCTGTGAAGTAATGGTGTGTGTGTGTGTGTGTGTGTGTGTGTGTGTGTGTGTGTGTGTGTTGGGGGGTGACTGAAAGCACACTCATCCATTGTAAACTGGCACTAACAGTCACTGCTATCCTTTTTTTTAAAGATTCATTTTGTTGTTTGTGTGTGCGTGTGTCTCTGTGTGTATGCGTGTGCATGTGCTCATGCATGTGGTTGCCCTTGGAGGTCAAGTTCCAGGTGGTTGTGAGCCACCTGTATGTATGCGTGGTGCCCACTGAGACCAGAGAGGGCGTCACATCCGCTGGAAGTGGAATTATAGCAGTTGTGAACACCCATGTGTGTCCTGGGAACTGAGGCTGAGTCGTCTCTCTATCTGTTTTTTATTCTTGGTAGTAGATGGAGCTTTCAAGTGACCAGAGTAAGCCATAAGGATAAGAAGCCAAATTTCAGGTATCACACACTGCCTTTGATGTTGAGCAAATGAGAACCAGAAAGGAAGAGGCGGGAGAGACACAATGTGCTAGAGCAGCAAGGACCAGTCTCCTCCTGCTCTCTTCCTGGTTCCACGTGGAAAGGATTTTTACTCAGCTGGCCCCGTTCTTCTGCAGGTGGATTATAGGTAATGATGGGCAAAGCTGAGCAGTGAATAGTGAAAGCTAGTTTGTAATGGGCTCCTTGTCGCTCTGAGTATCTGGAGTGCTCCCAGCGCACAGCCTAGGAGCCTCTCCAAAGAAGCAAGAATCCGCTCTTCAAGGTGTGCGAGCTTGTGCGAGCAACCAGGCTGCCCGGAGTGCTGACGTAAACCCTCCTGCTGGTTTCTGAGTGCTGAGAGTCTGTGGGGGCTTGCACACGTCTTCTTCACCCCTCTTGCAGGACTCACAGCTCTGGAGATGCTACCCTGGTGCTTCATCATATCCGAGGCAAAGTTAAACATTTGTCTTTATTTTATACACCTGTGCAGCAGCCGCCTGACCAGATACGGTTTTTATTTTATGTTTTATAGGAGAGCTTAAAATACGATATGTAGCAGGGCATAGTGGTTCATACCCCAAATTTCAGTAATTGGGAGGCTGCAAGGAAAAAGAAAAGATCACAAGGAAGAAAGGAATACATTTATAGGAAGGTAGCTCAGTGGTAGAGCCTTTGGCCTAGCAAGCACAGGGCCCTAGATTTGATCCCCAGCATGGCAGCAACAAGAATTTAGAGAAAATGTAAAAACCAGCCTGTCTCCGGACAGACACAGAGACACTGAAAACCTCTGGGTACTGTGACTTTCATACAGTGTCTGAAAGTGTCCCCTTCAGTTGGAATTAGTTACATGGCAAGTTTGAGAGGAAGAAGGGCAGGTCAGATTCCTTGTCTGATCTGGGGAATTTTATATTTGAAGTCTTTCATTAGGTGCTGCTGTTGATGGTTTACTTATTTAAAAAAAAAAAAAAAAAAAGGCTGGGGGTGTCTCATAGTAAGAAACCTCCTATGCAGACATCAGAGCTCACTTAAAAGCATGAGTTGCAAAGAAATATAAATTTGTTGTCTTCATTGGATGAGAGTATTTATAGAAATTGAATGATCCCATAAAGCTAAAGCCTGGCTGCCTTCATCCTCAGAGTTCTGCTTTAGTGGTGCATCTCTGAAAAGCCCTTGTCCATAGGGTGGACTTTGCCATGGGAGTCCTGCCATCTCCGAGGTCAGTGCCTTTGGCTTAGCTTGGCCACTTCATTCCTATTTACCAAGTTGGCTTTTGTTTTTAAACTTTGGGCTTTGCTGAAGATATAACTGTAAGAAAAGATGTTCCTGTGTGCTGAAATTTTCTTTGTATGTGTGAGTGTGTGCATGTGTCTGTAGGCCAGAAGTTAGCCTCTGGTGTCCTTCTTCAGGAGACATTCACTTTGTGTTTTTAGACAAGGTCTCTACATGGTCCAGGAGGTCACCCATTAAGCTTGGTTGGCTGGCCATTGAACCTCAGAGACCCACAAGGTCTCACCATGTAGCCCAGGCAGGCCTGGAAGTCGCAGAAAACCATCTGCCTCTGCCTCCCCAGTACCTACCCTGCATTTCTGGCATTTTTAATGTGAGTTCTGGGATCAAACTCCGCACCTAATACTTGCACAGTAAACACTGTCAATTGAGCAATATCCCCAGCTGCTCTCAGTTTAATACAGTTGGGTGCTTTACAGTAATTGTTATAAAGAAACCACCATGGGAAGTTATACTTTGACAGTCTTGCTGTCCAGTCTGTTCCCATTGCAGCTGCCCTCTGCTGCCTTGGACAGGCCAATAGTGCTATCATCAATTCTTCCAAAGTTTATGAGATTCAAAGATTTTTGTTTTTGTTTTTGAGACCGGATTTTACCTTGTATCCCTGGCTGATCTACAATTTGATTTGTAGATCAGGCTGGCTTTGAACTCAGAGATCTGCTTACCTCTGCCTGTGCCTTGTGTGCTGAGATTAAAGGTGAGCCATCATGCCTAGCTCAAAGATTCTTTTTTTTTTTGATGTATTTGTAGTTGTGTGTGTGTGTGTGTTGTGTGTGTGTGTGTGTGTTGTGTGTGTGTGTGTGTGTAGTTCATGGTATGCATTACAGAGATCAGAGGACAACTTGCAGGAGTCAGTTCTTTGTGCCATGGGAGTCCAGAGGATTGACCTCAGGTGCCTTTTCCCACGGAACCATCTACCATCCCACTGGCCCTCTGATTTTGTTTGTTTCCCTGTCATCTTAGAACAGATGGCAAGTAGACGTTCTACACTTGCTTGCACACTGAACAACACCGAGTTTTCCAGGTCCGCAATGAGCATTGCTTGCCGTGTGTGTAGATTTGTATGTGGGGAACTTGGGGTAGGTGTGTAGTGCATGCTCATGGTTATGGCTAATGGTGTTGACATCCCTGGGTACCTATTCATTGTTTATTGATTTTAATGGTGCTGGGGTAGTGAACGTAGGGCCTTGCCCATACTGGGCAAGTACTCTACTATTCAACTACATGCCCAGCCCTGCCTGATTTTTACTTTTTACTTTGAGACTCAGTTGCCAATGCTGGCCTTGAACTCATTCAGTAGCCCAAGCAATCCTTGAATTTGCAATCCTCCTGCCTCAGCCTCTCTGGTATTTAGGATTAGGCTTGCAATATGGGCCAGCTTGATTTCCTTTCTAAGAACTGCTTTATTTTGCACTGGTGGTAGCTTAGGAGAGATTCACCAGCGGAGTAGGTACGTTCTGGATTCTTGCCATTCTCAAAAAAAAAAAAATGTACAGTATCCATATGGCTTAAATTTGCATAGCTAAAAATTTCAAGAGGTTGAACATCATTTCATTTAAAGGCCATTTGTGTTTCTCATCTTCTCACTCCCCCTCAAACTGCATGCCCTGAGCTTGGTTTGGTCTTCCTCGGTGGGTCTGTTTCTCTTTGTATTCGAGGGGTCTTTATAGAAAAGGAAGACTGGCTTGAAGTCTGATACAACTCCAAGAATTACCCCAGTTATCGCTTCCTTTATCTTTGACGGTTTTTGTTTTGTTTGTTTTTCTGGTTTTTGTTTGCCTAATAGAGAAGTTGTGTTTGTGTAATACATACGATACATACGTGTGGACATGCCTGTCTCCACCTCCCCGGTGCTGGTTTACAGATGTTCACTGCCATGTCCAGCTTTTACGTGGGTGTTGGGGATTTGAACTTGGACCTTCATGTTTGAACAGCAAGCACTTGGCCAGCTGCACCATCTCACTGGACCCAGATGTCGCTTTTATGAAACGAATTTCTCTTTCCCTTTTGGCTTCTGAATTCCCCTGTCCCCTCACACATAGAAGAGTTGATTCACAGAATTTCTGTGGTATTATTCTTTCTGTGTTTAAATGTATGGTCCATTTGATGGGTGTCCCAATACTCTAAAAAGGATGCCCCTGCCCTTGGCCCATACCACCATGATAAAGATTTTTTAAGTGAAAAGTCCACACTATTCCCATGTAAAACCAGAAACTGTGCATCACTGAGGTCCCCTCCCCCCCACCTTGGGAAGTAGAGGGTGGGGTTAGGTCCTTTTGCAGCTTAAGGCTGTTATTACCACTTTCTCCTTCAAGGGTAATTAATAATGCTTACTCACGAGCATAATGAATGAATGGACCGAATCCACCTGTGTGTTCCCACCTAGGGGGATGATGAAATTTTGCCTTTTGGAACAAATCCCAAGATTTACCTGAAGACAATCTCATTTCACTCAAAGTGTTTCAGTCTTTATCCCCAGGACTGAAGCTGAAAAGAAATCTCTCTTGTTACCTAAGAGCCATGCCTTTTGTGAGTCCTTAATGTGGAGATTCTCAAAGCAGTATCTGCCACAAATGCATGCTCCCATCCTTGACTGTTGCCAGAGTTTTTAGGGCGAATGCCAGAGGTCTGGGGATAGAACTCAGTTGGTTAAGTGCTTGCCTAGTGTGCATGAAGCCCTGGTGCTGTCCCCTGTGCTGTGTACATCAAAGGTGGGGTAGTTAACACTTGGAATCCCAGCTCTTGAAGGAGGAGCAGGAGTTCAAAGTCATCCTTCCTACATAGCAAGTTCAGGGTCAGCTTGAGCTACATAAGACCACTGTCTCAAAAAACAAAAACAAACAAACAGTCAAAAACCTGCTCCAGCTAGGCTTCGCCAGTTAAAGGAATGTGTAATGATGAAAAGCACAGGATGGATTTATTCCATTTGGCTACACCAGGAAGGGGGACAGATAAAGGGTTACAGTGACCTCCCCCCATCCACCTCCAAGTCCATCTTCAAGGTCCTGACATTAGGATTTGGCTTAATGGAGAGCAGGAAGTATTACACAATCATTCAGTCCTGTTCAAGGAGTGCTCCTGTCCATTGTCTCAGCTCCAGGTCTGCAGGTGGTCTGATATTTAGTTGGGGGGTGGGGGGCGGTTTCACTGTCCTTTGAGGATTAGCTTCTCTGGAATTCAAGGTGACTGAAGAGGAAAGGTTAAGGCCCATCACAGCTAATCTCTGCTTTCAGCAAAAGTGAAGGCAATGGGCAGAACGGAAGCAGAGGTACCAGGCTCGCGTCCTTCTCAGAGGTTGGACGTCATGTCACCTTGTAGACAAAAAAGACCCCTGTGCAGGGCAGCAGAAGCCTGACTCTTAGCCAGCCTCCAGGGAATCTGAACATGCGCCAGCTCGAGTCTTCCAGCCTCCTTAGAAGGTCTGCTTAATTTTGTAATAACAGGCCACAGTCTTTTGGTGCTGCCTTCTGGGTGGGTGGGATTGGCCCTCCTTGGCAGGTGGCAGTGGAAGGACTTAGGAAATGATGATATCTGTTATTTGACCCTGGTGTGCTTAGAATGGGAAATTTCTGGAGGAATTTTCCAAAGCTCTCACAGAGTCACTGCTGCTTTGGTCTCCATTGCATCCAAAATCCTGCCGCCCAGGCCAGTGCTTCCCAGTGTCATGTAATTAAAAACCAGAAGAACAGGTTTCCAGAATATGCTAGGCAGTTTTGTAGCACTGAAAACAGCATGCCCCCAACAAAAGCAGCACTGTTCCTCCCCATCCCTCTGCCCCTCTGCCTTGAAAAAGAATTTGACACCAGACGGAATACATATTTACCTGTGGTGGCTGGGGGCCAAGGAAGGTGGAACTCTGCTCCTCAGCAGTAACATCTGAGCCTCACTGTGTCCACCGTTCAACCTAGGGCAGCTTTGCAAGACAGAATCCCCTAAATACCTTTGAGAAACCTTACCGCTTCCCCAACCACATCTGTGTAAATAAATTCATGTCTCAAGGGTGAGACCTGGGAATCAGTTTTCAAAAATTTCCCCAGTATTGTGTATGCATGTTGAACTGAGCCTTTATTAAAGTCATGTAGTTTCTTATAACAGGGACCAAAGGTCATGATCACGTGCAAGAAAGAGATCTTAAGAAGGCTCAGCAGGTCAAGGCACTTGCTACCAAGGCTGAGGAACTGAGTTCGACTCTCAGGACCCTCTTGGTGGAAGGAGGGACCTGACTGCTGTAGGTTGTCCTCTGACCTCCATCCACATGGACACCATGGCATATTCATGCAAGTGTGCACACACACAACCAATAGAGAAACAAATAAATAAATAAATGTAATACAATTTTTGAACAAAGTGATCCTGAGGTTAAGTACAATCAGAACAAGGAATTGCTCATTTACATAGTAATTTGCATGGAACTTAACTCCTGACAAGAAATCAGGCTGTGGTGTTTTCTGTCTCCTGTATTTCTTTGCAGTGGTCTTGCTCATTGATTTTGTTGGCTGCAAGCAAAGGTGATAAAATGCCAGAGGCCACCTGTGCCAGGGAGGTCAGGGGTGGACTTTCCTATTTGGCTCTGTTCTGATGTCATTAGCAGATTGATTCGAACCCCTTTCTGAAGACTTTGACCTATACAAGGTTGTGCTGTCTTTGAGAGCGACGGACCTTTCTAGATCGTTTCCTGGTGTTTACCCTGTTAACTGTTCCCTTGTCCATAGCAACAGTTGAGAATCCGTCTTAGGAAATCCATGCCTTGCTCTGTTTGCTCTCCTGCATACTTTTCCCTGTAGAGAGTCTTTCATAGTTTGCCAGAAGGAAGGGAAGATGCGGATTAAGAAAGAACACAACTGCTCATCAGAAAAGGGAGTTCTCTGAAACTGGCCCTGGGGCGAGGGTGCCCCAGTGGCTTTGATGGGAATGCTGTAGAGTCTTCCAAAAGTCTGGTAATGGGGTGAAAGTAGAAGAAATTCTCTCATCCCTTTTACAGCACCAGGCAGTTGTAGAATGAAACCCTTGGGGACTAGGAGAGAGTGCTCATGGAGATTCATCAGGTGCCAATGCTGTGGCCATCTTGAGGTTGAGGGCTCTAGGGAGGGGGTTCCATGCAAGTCACAAAGAGCTCAGCGAGCTTCTGTTTTCATTTAGCATTCTAGAATGGCTTCTCATAGATTTTCCTTTATGTTTTTAACTGATCTGCTAAAGTTACAAATTTTAGTGTTGGCCAAGATCCAGTCCCCTGTTGAAGGGTACTTCAACGAAGGAGGGGTGCTCTTGAGGCTAAGGAGCTGGTGTAGTGAGTAAAGTACTTACCATGCATCATGAGGCACCACACCCAGCATCACTGATCCCCAACATGCCTGTAATACCGACACTGGGTAGGTGGTGGTGGGGAGGGGGCGCGGGGGCGGGGGAGCCTAGCAAGTGTGTATGCAGCCAGCCAGTCTAGTGGGTATGCCGACACCAGGTACAGTAAGGAACCCTTTCTCACACAGTAAGGTGGAAAGCACTTGACACTGATGTCCACACATGCTCGCACACCTGAATGTGTGTGTGCACACACACACGTGTGTACAAAAGGTGCCAAGCTTGTGAACCTCACTAGGGTAAGGATTCAGATATTGAAGGCATTCCCAGGAAATTTTCTCCTTCACTTTCTACAAATGAAATAGACTCACTGGATCTACAACTTGCCTAAGATTTCTTGCCTTTTATTCAGACTCTCAGGTTAAATAATGAGAAGTTCTATTTTTTTTTTTTTTTGACTTGCAAAAACAGCAGTATGCTGATACAACGGAAGTCGGGTCTTTTTAACATATGTATTCGTGTTTTTTTTAATTCACCTTTGTAAATGACTGAGAACAATGATATAAAGAACACACTCCTAAATGATGTGACTCAAGAAGTCCTTTCTCTTCCTCCTTGTTTTGTATGAAACGACAGTCCCCATGCATGTATTTTAGTGGGCAGTGAAAGGTGAATACACAGGGATTGGAGGGCAAGAGGTTAGTGTTGGTCTACTAGTGAAAAAAAAAAAAAACAGACCACAATCTTTTCAGGATCAAACCATAGGTCTAAAAACTATCGGGCTTTGGGAAATTGTGTGGTTTGGGTGTATAAGGAACATTCTCAGACTCCTAAGCTTTGACTAATTTGTAGGAATCCTGAGGTTTTGTTTATCCTCCATGTATGTGTTGCTTTGTAGCTGGGTGGTTACTTTGCATTTATAATTATAGCATTTCAAAAAAGCCAACCTTGCTAATAGGAATCTCCATGTGTGTTCCTGGGGTTCAGAGGAGTTCACTTGGGGTCAGTCATCAGGAAAAGCTCTGTGAATCGGGTTGCCTACAGGTGAGCTTTCCCAACTGTGCAGTGGAGGAAGCGAGGCAGTGGGAGGATGTGGCGCAGATGGTCTTCCAGGATGAATGAAGACCATCTCTTCCCCATCCCCCTGAGTTAATCTGGAAATAGTGTAGTCTAGAGAGAGACTCTGTTCCCAGACTTGTCATGTTCAACCAGAACAGATCTTCCTTACCTTTTCCACTCAGGACTCCCCTCTGTTCAGCTGTGGTGATACAGCAGGTACACGAATCAAATATTTGTTGATTATAAAGAATTTGTTGTAAACAATTCCTGGGTATACATATACTTTTCCATGTAGGCACACTAATGAGATGAATGTCTAATACAGTACAATCCAAAGATAATAAATTTGGTGTTTACATACATGCTCACATGATACTTAGGAGGAACGATGGTAGGAAAATATTAAAAGTTCTTGTTTTCTGTAAATAAATATTTCTGTAGGCATAGACAGCTTTGTGTAGACAGTGAAAAATACTGCATTTCATAACACATGGTAATCTCAAATCTGAGCCAAGGCGTTAGAGGCAGGGTCCACTTGTGCTTCATGGTGTGATAGCATGCACAGTACAAAGTGTGTGCTGTGTGTTCAGAATCAAGGCTCGGGCCAGCAAGATAGCTCAGCTGTTGCTGTTAAGATGCCCACTCTCATGCCTGATGGAAAGAGAATGGATGCCTACAAGTTGTCCTCTGACCTCCACAAATACACACTTAAAAAAGCCAACCAAGGCTTTTGAGCACTGTCAAAAATACCCCCAGTTTACTCCACCTTTGAATTTTAATTTGGTTTTGCTCACTGCATGCTTAGGAACCCTTGATATTACCCTGTTTCCATTACCCCCTCATTTAGTGGCCCCATGGGGGGTCGTGAATGAGCCAACGAGATGATTCGGTGCTCCAAGACTGCCAAGGCTGACACCTGGGTTTGATCCCCTAGGACACACAAGGTAGAAGAAGAGAACTGGACCCTGCAAGTTGTTGTCTGGTCTCCACAGGCCTGCTGTGGGGTGTGTGTACGCATGCACACAGCATCAGTATATACATGTAAAAACAGAAGCTTCCAACTGTACTATTTTCTTACTTCTGTTTGGTCTCCTGACTAGTAGGTGCCCATGAAATAGCATCTAATGCTTAGAATTACTATAAGATACGTAAACTAGCAGTAGTTACAAGGTAAGTAGATTGGAAAGTAAACTGAAAGGAGACAGAATCTCAGAGTGGACAACTAGCTTTACCTGCCACTGTGGCCCATGGGTGACTTTCTGTTCTGTGTCATCTAAACTGATTGAATAAATGGTTGGTTTCCTTGTGGTAATGGAGCTACTGAGTAAAACAAGGATCCTTGATAACAGTGATCTGTTACTGATTTTATCGCTAGTAAAAGTTATTCATGCGTTATCCTTTTCCGATACAACACACTGTTTTCTCCAAGCTCTTTTAATAAACAGCATTTTTTAATTTGTCTGTGTTCAGTACTTTAGAATCATCGGGTTTGTATATTTTCAGATGAGTGGTTCTCCTTTCTTCCAGCCCACATTCCTCACCCCCTTTTTTCCTAGTGTGTTTTCAAGATCCTTTTATGTGCATCAGAAAAATGAGCATGATTTCATACGTATTCATTAGGAGTCCCTGCCAGAGGCCTTTCTGTTTTTCTTCTGAACCTCAAGGGTAATGGCTCCTTATAGAATAGGAAAAAAACGCTAGCAGGAGCCTTTTTCTGCACCTTTCGGGGGTAAGTGTGAGACTTCTCAACGCGGTCTCTCAAAACATTTGCCCACATTAGTGTAATACTTCAGGTCTTGCTCAGACAGCAGCTTCATAAAACTAACTGCAGAATGAGGGTGGGCTTGCTGCATTGCGCTGTAGGGATCCATGCATGTCCCAACTGAGGTGCCTAACAGGAGTGTGTGACCCTGACATTCATCCTGCTAGGCCTCTGCCTCCTCCTCAGACCACTGTAATTCCTCTCAGTGGGGGATCTGCTGGTGGGGCTCCCTGGAAGCTCCTGGGGATCTTTTGTCTTTGATGTTGCTTACAGGAAGGGCCCATTCTGATCTTAGAGCTAGGCAGTGCATGTCTTAGTGTGACTTAACTTGCTTCCCACGGGTTCTGTTCCTTTGGGTTCTGTTCCGTCCTCGTTGACACAGCGAGATTGCTCAGAAGTGGGTAGACCTGCTGGTGAAACTGTCGTGCCAGGGGAGCTAAACAATTGGCTGTTGTGTGTGGGTGAGATGTTTTTGATGTTCTGGACCCCAGAAATGTTTCCCTGGGGATTGCTAGGAGACTCCGTGCACTATTCTGAAGGATCTTCCATCAGAGGCCCCTCTTGGGGGTCTTGAAAATGACTTAATCACTTCAAAAGTTGTTCAGCCCAGTGTAGTGCACATTTTTAATCCCAGCCTTTGGGAGGCTGAGGTAGATGAATCTGTATAGCAAGGACCAGGCGATATAGGGTATATTGTGAGACCTTGTCTCCAAAATAATAATAGTAGTAATAATAATAAGTTGCCTAATCCTGTGTTTACCTTATTAAGTGGGAGGACTACGAAGTTGGGTTTCTGAAACACTTTCCACAGTGACTTATTCTTTAGTGATACGGCCGGAAGGCACTTAAGAGAAATGGACATCAAGCGGGAGTCACGGGGCTTATTGGTTTTTAAATTATTATTTTATTTTATGTGTAAGAATATTTTACCTGTGTATTTGCGTGTGCACTACGTGTGTTGCTGATGCCTGAGGTCAGATGAGGGTGTTGGATCTCCTGGAACTAAAGGTTGTGAGCCACCATGTGGTTGCTTGGAATTGAACCTGGGTCCTCTACCAAAGCAATAAATGTGATAAACTGCTGAGCTATTTCTCCAGCGTGCAGGGGTTATCTAAAAAGATTTAATTGATCTAGAAACACAGTGTGGAAAAATGTTTCTGTCACTGGGTGAAGAGACCCTCCGAAGTTGTCCTGTTAACAACATACTACATGACTGTGTCTTGTAAACAGGGTAGATGGTCCCTGAGGACTGACACACACAGTTGACTTCTGGCTTACATCTGTTGTGAGCTGCCTGGTGTGGGTTCTGGGAACCAAACGTGGGTCTCCTGGAAAAGCAGCAAGTGTTCTTAACTGCTGAGCCATCTATAGCCCTGATGGTTGTCTTTTAAGATTTAAAATCAAGGGGGAGATGTTGCGTGTATAGCCATCTGGTCACACTACTATTGCTCTTCCTTCCTATGCCGGTTTCCATTTGGCATTGTCTCCTCCTTGAAGGGCTTTCATGTTTCTGCTCTGGGTCCACTGCTGAAGAATCTTTTCCAAGGGCTTTGTTGGGGATGAAAACCAGGCCTTTGCTCATGCTGGGCCCTCTACCACTAGGCTATATCCCAACGTAGCTTTTACCTCTAAGCCAGTCTTTTCCCTTTGAACTGTGAAGGATATTTTTGCTAGGTATGAAAGTCAAGTTTGCCAGTATCTTTTCTTTCAGTACTTAAAAAGTTGTTCTGCATTCTGGATGCATTGTTACAAATGAGAACTGGTCTATCGTTTTTGTTCTTTTTCTCTTCATCACCGGTTTTAAGCAATGTGATTATAGTGTCTTTAATTTTTATTTATTTATTTATTTATTTATTTATTTATTTATTGTGGATGTGAATGCATGCAGCACAGAATGGAGGTTAAAGGACAACTTACAAAAGTTGGTTCTCTCTTCCCACTACTGTGTAAGTTGTGGGATCAGCTCAGGTCATCAGGCTTGGCAGCAAGCAACTTCACACACTGAGCCATTACATTTGTGTTGTGAAAGGATTTGGGGTAGGTAGGTGGGTGTGGGTGGGTGGGTGGATGATTAGTTGGTTGGTTTAGAGGACAGGTTTCTTTTAACTCAGGCTGACCTTCAACTCTGCTTTGACCTGATTCTCCTGCCTCTGATCCCAAGCACTGGCACTGTAAGAGTGCACCCCAACTCCCAGCTAGGCCTTTTTAGGAACCTAGTAATTTGGGGCAGGATACGAGTC